TCCCCGAAAATTGCCATTTTGAATTCAAAATAGGTAATTTGTGGGATTCATGTATATCCGATGAGTTTTTGAAAACTCACAAAACAGTGCTGAACTTTAACAAAAAGTGATTTTTGTTTTAATTGTAGTGTTTAAGTGTTTTAATTGTAATTGTACAATGCATAAATATAAACCCAAAAGCAAAACATGTTAAAATAACTATATTAGGGAGTGGAAACGGCAAATGTGTCAATGAATGATGGTCTGCAGCCATCTACTGGTTATAGTGGAATATTGTGTATAAAAGTAATATAAGGGTCCGTCCACACGGAGATGCGTTTAGCTGTATACATAAAAATGTTGTATCGTATCGGTGTCCAGACGGATCCGGCGTTTTGGGAGCCTGAAACCAAGGTTTAGGATCATGCTCCAAGTCTTCTTCTCTGTTTTTAGTGTATCTTTGTGGCAAAATTACAGCGCCACATACTGGTCTGGCATGTATACTACATAATTTTAAGTCGGTTACAATGGTTTCGTGTGTACGCAGATATGTCTTGAGACCAAGCCGTGTTTACGGAATTTTTTTTTTAGAACAAGGAAGAAAAAGATCGGATAGGGAAAACTCTGGCTTCGTGTGGATGAGCCCTAAATGTTAAAGTGTTTGTTTTTCACCAGGTGGCAGCAATCATCCACTTCCACAGTAAATTCCACAAATACATAAAAATGCCATAAATCCCTTCTTAACCAAAAAGTGAGCAATATTACATTTGTTGTTTTTGAAAAATAATAATGATATTAAAATAAAAAATGTGACCCCTAATGAGTTTTGCAGTGTACAGTCAAACATGATATCAGAAACAATTCAGCAGTTGTGCCCCTAAGACAGACAAACGGGGTAAGAAAGAAACTAAATGTGTCATAAATTCAACACTCTCTGCTCCACATAATAGATCACTGGACTTTCTACTTGACCTCCAGACCAAGACAGCTGCCGGCCATAATTACTACCTCCATCTGATTGGTGTATAGTGAGAGGGACAAGTCTATAAGTAATTGTCATCAAGAAAGTCTTTAAGTAAAAGTCATCAGCACTGTGGTTGATGTACTGAATTTAATAAAATGCAGACCAGTGTGATTCAACAGGTGCCTTTTTTGTCTTTTTATATACACATATATACACACACACACACACACACACATATATATATATATATATATATATATATATATATATATATATATATATATTTTTAAATCTGAAAATCTATCATAAAAATATTAATTATTATACATTTTACATAAAATTTGAAATATAATTACAATTTGTGAAAATCTTATATATAATTGTTTATGCAAATTACGACTTCAGTTTTGGTGTAATTTTCACCAAAATAAACAATTTTTCTTCTAAGTCCCCCCCTAAAATCAATGTACTTAGTTACTAAGGAGACAACAGTGGATCTGGCTTGCAAACAGCATACATTATTTTGCATCATCACTCAAGCAGTACATTTGTGAAATTATGCATAGTGATAAATATGTATTTAGAATACATAATGTGCTACCTATGAAATCAGCCGTAGCCATTTCATTCCAAACGGTGTTTCAAATGTCATTTCAACACAGAAAAACTGTAGGTACTGTATGTTTTAAAGGGGTCATATGATGTTGCTAAAAAGAACAGTATTTTGTGTATTTGGTGTAATGAAATGTGTTTATGCGGTTTAAGGTTAAAAAACACATTATTTTCTACATACTGTACATTATTGTTTTTCCTCTATGCCCCGCCTTTCTGAAATGCGTCGATTTTTACAAAGCTCATCGGTCTGAAATGCGAGGTTGTGGCATTTGTGATCTGAGAAATTAAAAACAACAAGTGCTACTCTACACTGCTCAAAACTCGTGTTTAATCGTCAGTGGCAAATTATTTAAATATAAAAAATGTATGTACAGGCGGCGGCAACAACAATACTACACCGAGAATAAAAGTTACGCCTTATTTCTTTGCGTGAACATTTTGGTGACGTTATGCAAATCTTCCCACATCGTGACGTAGACATGTGGGGGCGTGTTAGAACGAGCTGTTTTAGGTAGACGTGGCTGACTCTTAACTTTTATAAAGAATATCTCTTTGGATTTGAGACTTTAGTCTTTGCAACTTTACAGATCTTCTTTATGCACCAAGAGCTTGGAAAAATTTAAATCGCATCATATGACCCCTTTAAGAGTTTTTCAAAAGGTCCACAGAATCAAAAATACCCTTCAAGCTGTTTCTTTGAATGACGGACTGCAAAATGGACATTAAAATGTTCAGTTTGTGTAGATCACTTTATTTGATCTTTCGGACATTCAAAACCGGCTGCTCATTTATTTCAGGCTTCAGATAAAGATTGAGTTGAGGTTGAATAACAGGAAATTCACCCGCTGTTCGTCATAATGAAATTCTAGCACCATTGCAGGTTTAAACAAGTATACTTCATTCTCAGTTTGTGGATCTTTGCCAAGTGAATCTCTCTTTTCATTTCCATCTTTTTGTCATTAATTTCTCCTAAGTTCACTCTGACTTTCTCCATTTGATCTGTCAGACTGAGTGTTGCTGCATTTCACCCTGTTTCTACATTACGTCCTCTTTCTCTATGCTTTCACAGCAATTCCCAATTGTTACAGTAATTTTCCTCAGATGGATTCACCTGTTCCCGCTGAGATTTGATTGACAGGCTCTTAAGTTCAGATGTTGCCGACTAAACGCCCCGTCCCTCCGCGAGCTTCTCTTTGAAGACATCTGCATCTGTAGAGTATAGAAAGTACACAGAAATTTAAAAGAACTCATTGCAAAGTTTTCCGGCACGGTGCAGGTTTATGTAACAGATTTTGGGTACAAATCTAATTCACTCCCCCAACAGCACACAAAGAAACATTATCTGTTAATCTTCCTGCAGAGGAAAAACTTTAAAAGTGATTCTGAGGGCATTTATTTGAGAATTACATTTGTATTTTTTTTAGCCTCAAACAATGCAGCTGTGCGTCAATCTAATCAACACACGGATCTCATTAATAATTCCCCTCTTAACAAGACATCTCTAACAATGGTTATTGTAATACTTACGGGACGAGTGTATCATCATGAGCCTTTTTGGTCCCGCAGGAGGAATTTGTTTTATCCGTGTATATTCATATTTAAACAATAACCACGAATCCCCACAGGAAAGAGAAATAACACATGAGATCTCTTAATATTTCTTCAACACAGCATTTCCACAATTCAATCTTCAATTTTGCTCTTGAGAAAAAAATCCCAGTAATCATAGATGTGTCTAGAGTTTCAGAAAATAATGTCTCAAACTGTACTCGGATTTGCCAATATAAAGTTAATATGAAGGCAAACATTTCTCATCAATTTCCTCCAAGACTAGGTTATGGTAAAATACTAATTTTACATCTATTATTAGAGCTGCACACTTCTAGAAATTTTTTTTGAAATAACATTTACTTCAGTGATTTAAAAAAAAAAACTACTGAACAAAGCAGCATGCAGTTTACTAGAGTGTCTGATAAAATGTTCATTTTAAAAATGCAATAAACAATGAAACTAAATCAAAAATATATAAACAATTTCAAACTGTTTCAAATGTCAAACTGCCTTAATGAGCAAATCAGTTATGTGAATTCAGTGACGCACCTATTAATACTTTTCCCCCCACTTTTGTTCCTGAATAAATCCGTGATTTGAACAGTTAGGTTCAGTGATTAATTCAATGACTCACCCATTTTTTTGGTTCTTGAATGAATCAGTGCTTTTGAACGAATCAATTCACTGAATGATTTAATGATTCAGTCATACGGACAATATCTTGTTACATCTTGACACATCAGAGACAAAGTTGATACATCAAAGAAATATAATATACTGAGAACTCCTCTAGCCTCCCC